GGAGCCCAATGCGGGACTCGATCCCGGGACTCCAGGATCATGACCTGAGCCGAAGGCAGTCGCTTAACCAACTGAGCCACCCAGGCGCCCCTAAACTTTGTTTTTTAAAAATTTCAAATTACTCTGTACACGAAGATAAACCAAGAAAGACTGCTCTGTATGAAAAGACACAAATAATCAGTTATTTCTGAGAAGTCTCTTATTTTACTCATCTTAATACACCATAAAGTTAGATACTTCATCTCTTTGCACAGTTAATATGATTCCAGGCACTTTTTTCTTCAAATCAGATTTACATTCTTAAGAAATGTCTGTCAGGGGGAAGAAGAAAAATGTCATTTATATTCTGGTTTTTAATGTACTTAAAATATGCATAGTTTTAATATAGTAATATTTTATTTTATTTTGCTGAAAGAATCTGTGGGCTCAATTTATAATCTAATCCTGAGAATATAAGTTAATGGGTGTGTGGAGGGATAGAAGCGTCAATCAGTACTTTTAGATACTTTAAATGATGACTTCCCCTTTAAAGTTTTTGATATCTAAATAAGCCAAAAATGAACTTGGCATCACCTAAGTAACTTATAAATATTCTTAAAATTTATTAATCTGTAATACTGTGTTTCTAATACCTTGCTAAATAAATAATTAGAAACAGATACTCCTATAGAGAAAATCACTAAATCTCTTACTCTGCAATTTCTAAGGGGAATATTTATCAGCTCTGTCTTCTATGAATCTAGTCCCAGGAGAATGTAACTTTACATGCAATATTTGGAATTACAGTACAGCACTTGTTTTTTGAGAACTTTCGCAGTTATTATGTTGTTTTTGGACTTTATGTAAATTTACTCATTCACATAAAATACATTAAAACAAAGAAAGATAAATGTGTCTTGATTTAGATCACTTCAATAGCCTAATGAATTTTCTTTATTCATGTTTTATATTATTCAAAAGGTTTGAGATAGACTGAGAGTTATTAATTCAAATATTTTGCCACTGAACATTAAAATGATCTTCTCTTAATCTAAAAAAAAAGAGAGGGGCACCTGGGTGGCTCAGACGGTTAAGCATCTGCCTTTGATTCTCAGGTCATGATCCCAGAGTCCTGGGATCGAGTCCCACCCCACATCAAGCTCCCTGCTCCGCGGGGAGCCTGCTTCTCCCTCTGCCTCTGCCTCTCTCTCTCTCTCTCTTTCATGAATAAATAAATAAAATCTTAAAAATAAATA